CGCGCGGGGGGGGGGGATTGAAGAAAATTGGAAATAAATAATGAGCAATTGCTGGAGATCAGATCTGACCGTTAGTTTTGTACACGTGATCAAGTGATTCTCAGTTCGAATCGTCTCTAGTTACCTACATTAAACAGTGATCAATTTGGGGTATGTAATTGCGGATATACGATCCCTAAGAACGTGACTTTAGATTTTGGACATTGTCAACCTGGTCAGACTGCATTATCTGTTCGTTCTTTTTATTGCACTCGATCCATGCAATGACCTTCACTCATGGTGGATAGTTCGGATGTGTGCTTGCGTCATGGATTTTCAATGTCTCGTTTCTCAACTTTGGACGGTCAGTCACATTTGTGAGTAGTATGTTTAGATTGCGCTAAACGGTCAAAATGTGCAAGACCTCCAGGAGTGAATTACTGCTTTCAAAATGTGCGTCTACCGCCCGTCTACCGTTCCATTATGTATCCTGCGTGCTTGTCAAAATGATGATGACCGATACCAAATGAAACGTTCTGCCGTATATACATACGCCAATGTATCGTTAAGCTTACTACTATTGTTGTTCGTAACAGACAGCTCTCCTCAGCCTTGCAGTCTTGTGGATACAAAACATAAGTAATAATTCCGCATACGGGATTGCGCATCATCCATCATTTCCTAGCACCGTTTCGACCGTCGACATTCCAATCAGTCTCGAATTTGTTGGCGACAACATCTTCACACAAACCTCACAAAATAGCATGGTAAAGGATATTTTTATTTGCGGTACTTAATACGGTTCAGTTCTCCAAAACTGCGACGAGAGTATGGTAGGACATAGTTCCTAGTCATAAAAATAGCCTGGAATGAAATGGCTTTCATGTTCGTAGACTGATCGGTTGTCAGCAGCACAGTGCGGATCAGTGACGTTTTTAGCAACTCTCCGGGGTGAGTGGGGTGGGGTGCAATGTATTAGTAATGAGTGTTCTACTTGCGTGTTTTTTTTCCTATCATTGTGACCAACTAGTCATGACGAGTTTCACTTTTTTTATTTCATTTCTGATTCTGAAGTTGAGCTTTAATAACGGTGGGCGATGGTGGCCGAACGGTAACTTCACCGAATTACCATCTCGGGGGACGTGTGTACGAACCCACCATCACCGCCCGACTTTCCCCAAGGTAGCCCTTTGATTGGCTGCTTCCCCCTTTCTGAAAATTGTATCATTGTGTATTCAATAAACGGAAGTAAGATTTAAA